AAGCGAGCCGTTCGTTGTAGTTCTTGAAAAGGGATTTTTAAAAAACGAAATATCTCCCTTTGGAGTGGACTTTGAGATTTGAAACTTTCTAGATCTTTTTTATGTCCAATCATTCACACTAGACACTGACTAAAATTTAAAAAGTGAAAAAGCATAATAGGACCCCTTTAAATGAATCAGAAAAGAGGCAATGCTGTTTGATATATTTTGTTTCACTGTAATGTATGTATGTTCCCCGAACTACAGTTTTGCGGCTATTAATATGTTTCAAAGAAAACAAAAAGAGGAAGTGGTGTTTGATATCATATTTTGTCGTATTGTATATATACAGTGAGGATAAATGGAGTAGTCAAGGCGAGCTGACTGACGTTATCAAGTACTTTGCTGTTCCATTTGCAGAATTACCGGACTTGCACTTCCGAGTCGAACTTGCGAAGTCCGAAGTACTGAGAACGCAAGTCCGAACTTTGCGTACTTGTGCTGCATCTCAATGTGCCTACTTATACTACGCCCTTAAAGTATGTACTCTTTTGGTGAAGAAAAAGTACACACTTTTGAGTGTGTAGTAGAAGAGTAGGCAAGCTTTGGGACATACTTTCACATCACACAACTGTGTCTTTAACGGACGCTCTGTCGCATTGATACACGCACCCTGTCACTGTAAACTGGCCTTTCAATCATCTTGTCACAGTTAACATCCTCCACATTGCATTTCATTTAACTTCCTACCGTATTGGAGAGAAAAGAAGTAGCACATTTATCTGCCAGTCCCGGGTCTTTAATGCCGAGAACTCTGCTCATATTTCATGCATAATGGTGCATTTAAAAGTTAACGACCAAACGGATGTTCATAAAAGTTTACATTGCTGTTGCAGATGAAATATAACATAGATAACATTAAATAAATAATTTTTACCAGGTTAAATGTTGAATATTAGTAACTCAAACCCCTTTTTCTAAGCCTCTCTACCTAACCGCTGGTCGCGCACATAAGCTATGTCTGTAGTTTTAACACGTTTTCATGTTTGTAGTTCTGGACAGAATCCTTCACCAAAGCGCAATGGATTGTGGGCAATATTAGCCATTAGAGTGTGCACAGATCCACACTTCAAAAATCGACCTGAAATAGTACTTTTGGCATACTCATTTCAACATACTATGCTTTGGGACTTAATTATTCTAATCTCACATATAGGATGGATAGTATGAACATTGAGAAACGGCCTAGGTCAAGGGAAGCATGAGGAAAGAAAACAAACTAAAAGTCCATGATAGTGACAGATGCCTCGTTGTGCCAGGTTTTTGAAAACGCTTAGTATTGCATTCATATGGCGAACCTTTAACTGATTGTTTATAGTGTACCAGAAGTTTCTCCCATAATTCACGCAAAGCGTCATGGGGGTGTGGAAAATAGGTGGATACACCAATATTTAAAATATTGGAATGAGCAGAGATTCTACAACATCCAGATACAAAGTCTTGTGATTAAACACACTTCGACATGTTTTTTTGTTTGTTTTTTAAATATCTTTCTCTCTCTCTTTTTACTTTTTAGGTGACATGAGAAAAGCTATGTGCAATGGACAAGCTACAGGTACAAAAAAAAAAACCAGTAACCTGGTTCTATACAATTCTGTAAGTGAATGTAATAGCTAAGCTTACATTAAAAGTTGTATAAATGAAAATGGTAGTTCAACTAAAAAATATATAAAGATTGTCACCATTTACCCTCACGTCGTTCCAAACCCGTATGACTTTCTTTCTTATGTGGAACAAAATATAATATATTTCGAATGCATTTTCCGATCCAGTGTTGTCCTATACAATATTGTTTTGAACCCCTTTGACTTAACCTACCTTGACATTTAAACTAACAAGCATTTGTTCCTTCTCCCCCACTCAGTTCACTCAGAATGATTATATGCAACATATAATGTTCCACGTCAATGCAAGTGAATTAACAGTCATGTCTGATATAATTTAAAACGTCTCAGTGTGACTGGTACAATAGCCTCATGTCCAGAGAAATAGACTGAAAGTAAATACGAGAGAGTTTGCAGAGGGTTTGCCCCTTCACAGGGCCTTTCATCCAAATTACCTCCCGTTCCTCCTCAACAGGGTGCAAACTCCCCAGGTCTAAGATCCCATTTAATGCAAATCCAGTTTTAAATCTAGTTTCCCCTACCCTCACGTAGACTTTTGACTATAAGATAATATACACATCATAACACAAAAAAATTCATTATGCAGTGTAGACAGCTTAATTTTCTGTAACTTTGTGAGATCTTAATGAACAAAGATGAGTGACAGCTTTTTAGGGATTATAAAGGGAGCGCTCTTTGCAGGCTTTCTGTGCTATAAATAGAATTTGTGGAAAACTTTGGTTTTTCATGCTGCTAAAAGGACATATAAGGAAAGGGCATATAAATGTGGTATTCACTCTCGAAATTGCATTGATTTATAGCAATGGACGGGACAAAATTTATGTCAAAATAAATGTGCATTAAGGCTATGCACCCTCACTAATTTCAGAAGCACCCTCGACTGACTCTGGAACTGGGCCGGTGTTGACAGGGTGTTAGTTATACTGAAACATTAAAAATAATAACAACTTACTGAATTCAGTGTGAAAGCTGAGCCTGTTTTTCAGTCGGTTTAACCATTTTACCATCTTGATTTTCAGAAGCCATCCGTCCATTATGTTTTTAGTTGTTTTTGCTCGCACTCAATTATGCCATCTGCCATAACTGTAACCAAAGAAGATATGTAACAGCCGCTTGATTAGCTGGGAGACTTCCAGCTAAATTGCCCCCTCTTTTGGATGACTCAAGATTTGATAGCAAAATCTGACATTCACAGCCGGTTCACTCCAGTGTATTCATCTTAATTAACAGGTGCTCGCACCCCCAGGGTGAAAACCAGTAGTGTGAACTTGTTTAGGTTCACTGTTGTACATCACTGTAGTTGTGTTCTCTCTCTTTCTCCCTCTCTCTATATTTTATATTTTCAGGCCTTTTCTACCCATTTGGAAATGGAGATATAATGAGTCCCTCTACAGATGATGGAAGCTCTCCAGTAATATTATTGGAAAAGCCCTTTGTATATTTTGGACATGTTTATCAAAATACTTCTGTAAGAGCATTGTCTTCATAAATTCTGTGTATGTGTGTGCCCTGGTATTCCCTACATTATGGGAACCAAATGTCCCCACAAGGATAGTAATGGGGACTTTTTTTTTTGTGGTCTCCATGAGACTTTTTGAAAAACAAAAATAGCAGGAAGTTATGTGTGAGGGGTAGGGTTAAGGGGATATAAAAAACAGCATAAAAAAACATTATGTCCAAGGAATGTCACCATAAAACGTGGAAACCAGTGTGTGTGTGTGTGTGTGTGTGTGTGTGTATACAGTGCACTTAGAAAGTATTTAGGATTCACTCCATACACCATAATGAAAAAGCAAAAACCTAATTTGTGAAAACTTTACAAATGTATTAAAAAGAACAAACTGAAATATCACACTGGCATAAGTATTCAACTCAGTATTTAGTTGAAGCACCTTTATCAGCGGTTAGAGCCTCAAGTATTTTTAGGTGTGATGCAACAAGTTTACACACCTGAAATTTGGGATTTTCTGCAGATTCATATGGAAAAAAAAATTGCACAAATTACATGCTGATTATATTTCCCAAACTCAAGCATTAAATCTTTTCCATTCTTACTTTTTTTTTTTGATGATGATGTATATATTTTTGTATTTTAAAGGGGTCATCGGATGCGACATGCACTTTTACAAGCTGTTTGAACTGAAATGTGTGTTGGAAGTGTGTGTACACAACTA